GAAGTGTAGGTTCTTCAAGCCATTGGGTACCTTCAAATACTGCTGATGTTGAATAAATACCATGTAAATGTGTGTAAACAACACTTTTTTTTCTGTAATTATTGATGCTGGGCTATGTGACCTCCTGTACGCTCTAGTGGTGTCTTATTGACTACCTAAATACTCACAGCCATAGGGTACTCTTCAATTTGACCTGGAGTGAACCCTTAACCAATCTGTTTTCTCCCCAACAGTGTTAGCTAATAGTTTTTATTGTCTTTAAGAAATTACTGGCTGCTAACCTTAACTACAGTCAAGGCAGGGAAACTTTTCCATTAACTTTTACAGACTAAGATCTGAGTCACATATTTTGTGAGGAAAATGCAATGCTCAGCTCAGTGACAGATAATATTATGCACATATATTTAAACAAGATGGTCTTCTAATTTGATCAAGTCTAAAAATAAGCCTTTAATACCTGCTAATTTAAAATCACACTTGGGAGAAAGCATTGACATTCTCTATGGGGCTACCAGGGTCAGGAAATGGAGCTTGCTTCTCCCTGTAGTATTCCCCATGCACCATCTGACCTCTGTGACTGTCTCTATGTGGGCAAAGCCATTCTGCATATGACAAATTCTCGCTTTTGACATGAAGAGCAGATTTCACCCCATGGTTTCAGCTCCCAAAGCAGCATGAGGAATTTCTGCCTCCTCAGAGGTCAGGGAGAAACATGACCATGCTGCGGAGTCCTGGAAGCATGCACCCTCAGGCCATGGATGTCTCCTGTGCTGGCAGCATCGCTGCCTGGTCACACCTGAGTGATGCCACCCATGGACAGCGGGACAGGTAGAGAAAGAGCCTGCCCAACTCATCTGGTTGCTGCATCTGACCATACTCTGTGCTCTGCCCACCCGGCTACAAATCCAGATCAAGTCTCCAATAAGATGCCTTGAGTTAAGGATGAAAATACCTCCCTTAAAACAGAAAGGACCTGGCCTGGAAATGCAGCTGATGCCAAGCTGAGGCTCTGCTCCTGTATGCTTTGGAATGATTTTTTTAATGCTTTGAGTTTCTTTTTGTATCAGGACCTGGAATACTAACTCGGGCTGAGCCTAGGCCACAGATCTGCCTAATGGGGAACTAGCTGATTTTATTCAACTTTTCTCCATCTTAAGCCCTGGCAGTTACATGAGAAATTTGTGCCTGTATCCGAAAATGCTCTTTCGTTTACTCATCCCTCTCTTCCATAGAAAACATTACGTATCCTGCTTCTTATAGTGAACAGATAATGTACAGTTGTACCCTGGACTATTCAACCCATTTGGAGGAATATTCTAGTATTAAACACATGTGAAGGAGCCCTATATAATTTTAATTTGTCAGCATCTCTTTCTCTTATACCTACTTCCTGGTACAGTATTTAGTGATACTAGTAAGCAAACAATGAAGGAAAAGCTGTATTTTGCTTGCTGTGACATTCTAACACTGTAGGTTTAAACATTTGCTGTGTAAAAATTTTGAGTTTAAAAATTGTTAAGTTTTACAATTTCCATTTCCACTACAAAGTCTACTATAAATGAAGGTATGTTCAGGAAAAAGAGCATTTCACATTCAAATTAAAGCACAGAACTGTTAAAGATCAAAGTAGGCCTGACCATTTCAACTCCTTTTTGGTGGAATTAGAAAATTGACATGTGAAGAAAAGAATGTAAATGATGTGTAAATTATGTCATAGAGTATTTTAGAAAATATTGTTTTTATAACCGAATCAAACTGACAGGGAAATGAAGACCTGTTATTTGGATTTTTCATAGAATCTTACTGTTGGATAGCAAATGAAAAGTAAATACTAATGTAATACATGCAATTGTAGCAAGTTGTTTAGTCAGGTGCAGCAGTGACCATTGTTAGAACTTGTTTTACAAGCATTTAACATTTTCATTAGTAATCTGAAAGAGAGGGTTCACAACATACTAATTAAGTGAAGAGATAATCCTAAATTGAAAGAAGTCACAAAGCATCAATGAGGACTGAGACATAATGTAACAGGATCAAAAAGGTTAGAAAAATAAGAAAGAAAAAATGAGATTCAAACTTGGAAATGGCTGGTCAGAGGTATTTTAATAAAAACTGCCCTATACAGGAGAGAATTGTGTGAGAAACAAGCAAAGCAGTAACACTGAAGGAATAAGTAAACTGGATATTGGTTGGTATATGATGCAGAAGCTGCAATAACTACTTTGATTCTGGGTGCCTCTGAAGAAGTCTGTCCATTGGAGAGCTTACAGAAACTTTTATGAGCTCGAGGATGGAAGGAGTCTCAAGCATTCATTTATGAGGAAAAAATTAAGAGAGTTGCACTTGATATCAGGCAAGTGCTAAGTGAGGTTATGCTTAAAAAAATAAGTGTATTTGAAGAATATAAAGACCGTAAGAAAACTAAGACTGGAAATCTGAATCTGGTAGAAAGTCTTCAGTGAGGAAAAGAACTAACATGATCTGGGGTACTTAAAGCAAAGGTTCAGTACATCACTAGACAAGGTATTATAAAGAAATTTCTATCAGACACAAGGATCAATGCAGTATAACTTTTCCATCTCATATGTATCGTCTATGATTTCATCTAACAGTTAAAGCAATGACTTCTATTTAACATGAATTGAGCTTATTCCTAAATCTCACCGGGGTGAGTAAGATACAATGCTGTGGTGAAACTTAAGCACACTGTAATATGAAATCAATGGATCCCAGTGCTTACAGTCTTCCTGCCCTGACTGCAAGACTACAGCTTTACAAATGGTCCAGCAATCCACTGCAGCATTAACAGGCATTTTCTGTTTGTTTTTAAACACTGAAAATATAATTTACTTATGTACTAATCCCAATATTTTATGGTACATCTCTTCCATTTTTTCAGTTCTATCACCTGATCTGTTATACTACATTATCTTGCACTAACACCTTTACCTCTCTGCTGTAGGTGCCACAAAGGACAAACAGCAGTACTTGGGTAAAATCCTAAAAATTTTGGAGCCCCAGTTCCAGTTTCAAAAGGAATCCCAGCACCTGAATTTTGCTGTCAGCTCAGAGACAGGCCCTTTGCTATGTCCTGCTCCCTGTGATCTGGGGCTTTCCCTGCTTTGTGTGCTCCAGAAGGGGAACACTGGTCAGATGACATAAAGGATGAGAGACTGGGAAATGTGGGGTGGGTTTAGTGCTTGCTGGTTTACAGCTAAGAGAACAAAAAAGAAAATGTGTGAAAATTAAAGAATGAGGCATTATTTCTAAGTGATCCTGCAAGAGATTAGAGATAAGTGATTCTCTAAAGCTCCATGAGTCAAAAGATCCCACTGGCTTTAGTGGGATCCTTTAGCCACTAAGGATATAGTCCAGAGGCCATATTCTCTCTTTGGGATCACTTGTGTAACCGAGCACAAATGTTAATTCATGGACTATCAGAATTGTCATATTTCTGGTAACCTCCTCTGAGTCTCTCTGGGTACATTTCCCTCTGACACAGGGTGCTGCAGGGAAACAGCTCTTATGACTGTTTAAATTGCCTCTCAGCTGGTTTGGAGTACTATGAAACGCTGTTGCAGGACTGAGGTTTGCACAAGCTGCATGTGAGTAATATTCATACAGCCACAAGAGCTGAGAGGGAAGTTGAAGCAGATGTTTCTCACTGATCCTCTGTACTGCTATGCTGGGGGTGTAGGACTTCACTGGACAGCAGCCGAGGCCAAACGTGGTAACAAAACCTGTTCCACTAAACAGAGTGGCAGAAAAGCATAACCCTCTCCTGTGCCATTTGCAGCTAAAACACACAATTTGTTACACAGCTTTCTGTGTATAAGCATCCATGGGTAGAAAACATGCTGCAGATTCTATCTGCACTTTCATTTTTTTTTTTCAGACAGTAACCACTGCGTACACCCTTTCTACAATTTATATCAAGTGCATGCCACATCTCCAGGGCCCTCGAGAGCTCTGAGTACAGACATAAAGTTACACATCTCAGTGTACATCCATGAGGCAGCAAGGCCAGGCCAGAACTACAGAGGGTTTTTATGATGTGGCATTAATTAATTTATTATGGGTGCTCTTGAATACCACCTTTTTTTTTTTCCCTTCTTCTTTCTTTTTAATTACATTCCATTAACGAAGTGTTACCCTTTGATTATATTCTCAACCACAACTGACTCAGCATACTTCACTTGTTGAGGTGGGAAGTACCTAATTAGGATGCCAATCTTCTTTCATGTTATTTCTTTATAATAGAAGCATCACTTTCACTTGCATTGGAGAGGTGCGACTAGAGGCATTAGATGAACAGAAATCCTCCATAGAGAAGAATCACCATTAGCCATTACCTTTCAAATCATCTTATCTCACAGAGAGTTCTCTTTGCTAATTTTCAAAGAAGAAATCAAGGGACCGGTTCACCAAGGCATTCAAGCAGAGGAGCAGGGGTATCCATGCAACTAATATTCAGAGTTTGTGCACCTCACAAATTCAGTCAACTTGCTCTGCATGTACATCCATGCATCAGAAGCAGTAAGCTGCTACTTTTTGACAATAAATACCCTAGAATTAGCTGCCTTGGGGATTCTGGGTGTTGACAAGAATATGGATGGCTGGCTGAAGAGATCATTTAACCCTGTTAGTAATGAGCTCATTTGAAACAAGCTCTCTGCTACTAATTATCACTCGGTTCTGACTGATTCATCACCTGCTTTGATGCTCCTATTTCATAAACAGAATATCAACTGCAGAGTTTAAGAAACTGCATAATTTGCAGATTTTGGTAAAAACAGAACTGCCAAAATACTGCGTCAATTATTAACAAACTGAACTTCTTTCCTTCACTCCCTGAGTGTGTGTGCACATATACACGTGTGAACACGTAACTATCATGTATTTGTGTATGGAATGCTGATATATTATATTAATAAAAACTAGCATTACAATCTAGCTTGTATATATACACATTACAGTAGAGGAATAAGAATTTTCCTTACCTATTTCAGTCATGGATATCCCCGGAGCTAATTGCCCATTGTTGAAAGAGCTATAGGTAAACAAGTTTGGTACAGAGGTGAGGTCATAGATAGGTTCCTGCTTTATCTGTTTGATTCCAGTCATGTCTAACCCAGACTGGTCTGGGGAAGGCTGGGCAGAATCCACGTTATAATAACCCTCAGACTTCGGCAGGTCAATGATGTGCCCATTTGAGTAGGTGCTGCTAGTTTCATTATTCAGGTTGCCCAAGCCATTGCTGATGCTGTTGCTGTAAACCCTGGCCAGGGCTTCTGCCTCACCGCTTTGCTGCTGCCGTTGTTCCTGCAGTCGCTGCTGGTGCTTCTGCACTTCAGCATACAAGCTATCCCTCTGCTTTTTGGACATTCTTCCAAACTTCACAGCTGAAAAGCAAAGCATAATGCCAATTATTGTTGTCTTTCATTTTTTCTTGATTCCTCTCAACCCCACCACTCTTTTGATATTTACTCTCAGAGTTTCTTTTGCTCTGGAAACTTGTCTTTTTCTGTGGAAATGAGAGAGGATGCAAAGCTTTACACCATATATGTCCCACAAAGGAAAAAGTATTGTGTGCTTGGATTTACAGGGTGACGACAATGACTCCTGTTTGACAGGAGGGCCTCAGTCAAGCAACTCACTTCCCACTGTGAATGTTAAAAAGACCACACATCCTTTTATATCTCTGTGTTCAGTGAACAACAACCCAGAGCTGTATGAAATGTACAGTCTGTAGATTCATATCCCATGTGATTTACCAACTTTCCACAAACCTTTAAACAGTGCATTAACAGGATTAGTACTCTGAATGAAAACAAGCCCTAAAGCCTTATTATCACAGCCTTTCAATGGGGTGTTATCTTCACACTTTTTAAAAAAATCTTACAGGTTAGATTAAGAACCTAGAGGAAAATAACAATTTGAAGGTAAACAGCACAAACGAATGTCATCTTTTCCACAGAGGAAAGTCTCAGGGATTTACACAATCAATTTACATAATCTCCATGCACAAATCCATGCATTCCTTCTGATGAGAAAGGGAGGAAAGCATCAGAGTGCAAAACACTCTCTCCAGGAACAGGGTTCATTACACTGAGATTGAAATTTTCAAAAATGACAGGCTGATTGCTGTGGAACTAGGAGAAGTAAATCCACAGCCTGCATATACAGTGGGTCATAGCTGATTATCTTTCCCCACACCCTGCAACCCCATCTCTCTATAAATTCTAGCTTTCTACTGGGCTAGATCTTAGGATCTCAGAGTAGAGGTAGCAGTTAATTGTGCTCTAAAACAAATGAGAGATACTTTCAGTAGAATTTTTCAGAGTACAGGTAAGAAGACATTGCTCTGGAAATACTAATTTCTATGTATTTTGAGGTGTATTTTTCAATACTGACTATTTCCAGTCCGTCTGTAATTGGGATCAGTTCAGAATTATCACATTTGTTAGCACAGGATGCACTTGGCTCTCATTTTTGCTACCCCATAGTTAAGCTGCAGCCCTCGAGAAAAGTCTGAGCCTACACATGTGTATGAATGTGAAAATCTTCAATTCAGAATAAGAAAGGAAAAGGAAGAGCATAAGATGAAAAAGTGCCAGAACAACGAGGAGATGTCAGCCTCTTCAATTTATTTGCACCTTTTTACATTAAGAGCTTTTTTTTCCTTGTTGCTAACCTCATCTTACTTGCAGCCCTTCACACAGACTGCAAGCTACCTCACACAAACACAGCCCGCCCCTGGAATCAGTCCATGGTGCAATGCACACTGTTATGGACAGTATACAATGACCGTATTTTGAAAAATGCAACTGTGTATTTTCTTCAAATTTAAGGCCTCAGTAATAAAAACAAACACCCACTGTTTATTCTCATTATATATTCATTAATTGGATTCTCCAGCTGCTGTCAATTAGCATCCTGCCTCTGCATGATAAAAATGAATCGGTTACATGGCTGAGAGGTAAAAATCACATTCAATTTCTCTGTTCAAAAAAACCCATACTGACTATTTGAAACTTGCAAGAGCTCTTAATATTGTTAAGTATAAACACCCTTACATAAACAATGACAGAAGAAAGCAGTGCTGTCAGAAGAATCATTCCCTTTGTCTGTACGCAGTGGTCCCTGAATTATAGGTTGGGAAGAAAGTGCTGTCAGTCACATTAAAATGCCCCTGTGATACCTCAAATCATTGGAAGATATTACTTTTAGGAGGAAAAATGTGCTGTTAAATTGCTAAGATGTTACTACTTTAATCTCCTCTGGGAAGAATCAGGAGCTAAGGCATGGAGTAAGCTTCATGCTAGGACTGAAAAGAGTTCACAGATTAAAGGCTACACTTCAGGGCCCCTCCCAAACTGGTGAGACTGGTGAGCAAGTTGTTTCAGTGAGACATGAGACACACTGAGATAGGAAGAGATCTATTGCAGTTCAAATATAAACCAAATTTATAATCTGTGGACCACCTAAAGAAATAGCTCTTTACAAAGCTTGTCCATCAATGACTGTTAATTTTAAAATGACACATTTTGTGTAAACTTTCTAAGAGAGAAAACTTCTGCCAGGCAATCAAAATTAATGTAACTTGCCTTCAAAAATAGAACATTTTCTTCTCCTACTTCCTGGCCATTTAGAACAATTCCTGACCATTTAAAGCATGTCTGTGAGCTGGAAAGCCCCTGCATGAGCAGTGGTGGCTGGGGCAGGTTGGCTGTGGGCAGCCTTGCTCAAGCCTCCCACTTCCCACAGCTCTGTTGTGGTGCACGTTCTCAGCCTGCCCATCACAGCCTGTCACACCACAGCTTGGAATGTGGACCAGAGCTCTGCAAGGACCAAAGGACCCTGCTATCAGATACACTGTGGAGCTTTCCTCTGGTGTAGTATCCATTTTCATCACTAAACTATGAAACATTTCTTCTGTGGACCCAGACAGGGACAGGGGGAAATGTACAGGTAAAATAAATGCTTTTTTTCTGCAATGAAAAATACTTGGTCAAGTGCTCTGAGTAAAACAAATAGAAACCCCTAATGCTATCAAGGTGTAAATTTCTGCTTAACTGCCTATTTACTGTCACAGGCCTTTAGAGATCTCAAGTAAAAGGATGCTTTCACACATCAATATTTAATGTTAAGATAAATGTTAATGTTTAATATAAGAGGTTATCTAAACTGGAATTTAAATCCACCTCTCCAGAGGTGACCTTTTTGTGTTTTTGATCAGAACCGCACATTTCACTTCTCAGTCTGTTCCAAACTAATACTGCTCTCCATTTTGTGATTTTCTCACCCTCCCCATGAAAATAGCCTCCTTTGTTAAATTAACAGCAAAGATCTGTGTCTCACAATGCGTGAATTACAAAGCAAGGAGCTTCTCCTCTCTTTTTTTTCCAGAAATCTACAGGGAGTTTAAGTGAAGAAGAGTTTCAAAGGGTTTAGGCGTGAAGCAGGAATCTGACTCCTTACCATCTCGAGACATTCCCAGGGCAAGACATTTCTGCAGTCGGCAGTGTTGGCAACGATTTCTGTTGGTTCTGTCAATTAAACAGTTTCTCTGCCTTGGGCAGGAGTAGGAGGCATTGTTCTGCTGACTCCTCCGAAAGAATCCCTAGGGGCAAGAGAGCAAGAGAGACAGAATATTACCATGTGCCCATATGCGCACACACACACACAGAAACATGTAAATGACTACAATAAACTCTTATTTAGTGCAATCCGACTTATGCTATGGCCTTGCAGATGTGTTGGCCTTGTAGAGTGAAATTAAAGAATATTTATTTATAATAAGGAGAACTGTGCTTTATTCTATTAAGAATGTAATTCTACTTTGTTAAAATGCAAACAATAATGTTACAGAATGCACTCTTATTGTGCAATAATGACCATGTATCATCTAATGATTGCTCCTAATAGAGGAAAAACTTGTCAGCATTTGTAAACAGATGACTTAAAAGTACTTGTTCTGACTATTTTCTTCCTTTAATGAAAGAGAGTGGTAATAACTGGCACTGGCTATGCATAGCATTAGAAGCTGAAGTCTGCTGTTCAGTTTAACCTGGCAAATGTTGATCTGATCTGGAGGGACCATACACTTCAGGAGTGAAAAGTAATTCAAATTCAAACATCACAAAAGCACTAGGATTTAATGACTGTATCAAGTAAAACCGACACACAAAGAAGAAAGCAACACCTTTAGACACTACCATGAGAAAGTAATGACATTTTCCATTTCAATGGAATATAACATTATCCATTTTATCTATGTAAAAATTTGTAGTTATTCTATCTCCTAGAAGGTTATTCTGGCCAGTTGTGGGCTATTTGGATAACGATCAGAGGGCTAGAAGAGGAGTATTAACCCATACCTAAGACCTTACAAGCTCCCAGCTGCTAGAACATGACTGAGAGGTACTATTATGGTGGAAGTGACATGAAATGGCAGAGATGACAAGAAGAATGAAACCGGAGGGTGAGGATTAGAGAGAGAAAGAGAGAGGAAGAGGGCATTTTATTATATTATTTTATTTCCTGTAAAACAAAAGACAGGAGGAACAGCAAGTCCATAGAGAGTGAGAAACAAAGAAAAGAAGTTCCTTGACCACTGTGGCATCTTTAGATGGAGGCACCTGCAGGATTGTGTAGTGGAAGAGCTGAAGGGTAGCCTATCCATGTCAGGAAGCCATTAGGAGAAAAAGGGCAGAAAGCGTCGTTACTGTAATCATCACCAGAAGTGACGCCGCTGTGGTTATGCCTTTCTGGGCTGGTTTGCAAACAGCTCTGAATGGAGCCGGAAAGCAAGAGCTGACAATTTATCAGGCAAAATGAATGTTATCGCCGCACAGGCTGACAGATGGTAATTCTGAGCAATGGAAATCATGGCAGCCGTGGGTTTTGGACAACAGGAGTGGGGAAGCAACAAGGCAACGGTGCCAAAGGGCTCAATTTGCTTGCTATGGGTAGTACCTGAATTCTCACTCAAGTCCCAGTGTACCCAGTGAAGATGGTGTGGGGTGTCAGTAACAACAGGTGACAGGCATGGTGTCTCACCAAGGACACTTGGCAGCACTAGTTGCTGAGGTTGAGCATAAAGAAACTCACTTTATACGGCCTCTGCTGGTTTTATCAGTGATTACAGATATAGATAAAAACTAAATTAAGTTCTTTGATTTGTACTTTCGAGAACTTGGGTGTCCTTTAGGGAAACAGAAAAAATCTGGTGAGGACTTATCTGATCCTGGCTGACCAAAACTTTCCTGCAACTGTGGAGGCTAATTTATGGCCAAATGGATGCTAATTGCAGATATTTCTATTCTATTTGCTGAACTCTATTAGCCAATTTTGGTTTTGACATGCAAAGGATTTTCTAGTTTGAAGGTTTAGATTTTAGCAGCTCTTATATGGATATGGATTTGAGAGAACAAATTAATTAAATAACATTAAAAAACCCCACACAACCATCTAGCACTGACTGTGCCTCATCCTGTAGTGCTGTTTTTCCCATTAAAGCTGGTCTTATCTCAGAAGAATTTGTTTATTCGTCCTTTGACCCTCTTAAGAAAAAATCAAGGGTTACATAATAAAATTAATCTACCTCAGGTAATTTATTTTTCTGAAGAGAATTTTGTACTCTCTTTCTCCTGCATAAGATCTAAATGTTGTCTTACAAAGTACAGACAATCCTTTCATTTAATTTTTAGGGATCTTTATATAATATTGGCTATATTTACTAAGAATAATTCCATTTGGGGGAAGGAGGATGCAGTTCATTACTGATGATCTATGGACTTAGAGACAGGATTCCCAATACTGACAACAAGTTTTTCTGCATCTTGAACAAGTCACTTAATCCATCACGGGCAGTCAGCCTGAGAAGGGAAATGGTCATTCTAACCACTGTCTAAATCATGACAAAAGAATGGTAGCACATACTTTGTTTTGGGGGTAGGCAGGAGAGATGATAAAAGGTTTCTCAGCAAAAAAAGGAGCCACAGAGATAGATGGGGTGGAAACCTGTCTTTAGGTTTCACCATTTCAGCAATAACAGTGGTAGAGTCACCATCTTCTTTAATGGGTCCAGCAGGTTACTTAGTGCGTACAGGCATGCACATGAAACAGCAGCAATATTTATGATCCCCCTTAAGCAGTTATAATATGCATTTGCAGTGACATCACTGATGTAAGGACACAGAGTTAAAGGATTTCCTGTCCCTTGAAGTTTGTAACAACACCCCTGGCAGTACAGTCCTTGGATGTTGTGTTCTGAAAGGCTGTGGCTATCTGGTGTCGGGCTCAACCTGTGTGGTGCAGGTTTGTGGAGCACTTCTCACCTCTTTCTTCGACACATGGTGTCTGTCTTAATTAATTCAGATTTCTAGCACATTCAGACAAAAGGAGCCAGAAATGACCAGTTATTAATATGCAGGCTGAGCAAACAGATATTTAATTGCTGGGCAATGAAGAGCAGAGTTGCACTGCCGGAGACAGCGCTTACTTTAAAAGAGAGCTCTGACAGACTGAGATGCCTCCCATCGGACCCGATGTGAAAACTGACATCTTTTTTCACAACAGGCTCACAAAACAAGATTAGACTAATTGATCTGATACTGTAAAACTGGCACAAAAACAATAGGGTTAAAACTGTCGTAAGTGGAAGAGAAGCTCTTTATCTCAATAAGCAGTCTACACACAGAGCCGAGGGGTATCATCTCCTCTTGAGGCACACACAAGGGCCAGCATTAACCCTAATCACATCCACAGGACACTCTACCCCTAACTGCTCTGTGGGCGCTGAGTACTGAGACAGGATGTTGTTTTTCTGCTTAAAGCTTTTTTCCCCTGTAGCTTTTGTGCCAGTTTTGAAGTATCAGATCAATTAGTCTAATTCTGTTTCATGTGATCATCATAAGATGTTTATTTCTAGTCCAATGTCACAATAAGACAGTGACACAATGCGGGTTGTTAACAATTGTTACAGTTCCTGGAAGAAATCTGATCTTTGACAACGTATTTTTTCTCAATGTGTTGGCATTAAATGTGTTGGCATTATTTTGGGAATGGGTGCCCCCAAATTTTCATATTTTTCAGACATTCTAAAATTTTGTAAAGCATTAAGTAAACACAGGCTTGCCATTTCACTCTACAAATACGCACCCACTTTCAAATGTACCATTTTTTGTGTTTCTGCATAGAAGAAATCAGAGATGCTGCCTCTCCATCTTTACAATTTCACATTTACAGTCAAAGCTAAAATACCAACATGTAGTATAAAATTCTGGTTTTCCATGAGTAATGATATAACTTCTTAGAAAATACAATCACAAAGTATTTTTAACGTTCAAAACTGAAGCCTTTCTTCTCTTGGCTTGGGGTCTGATTGGTGTCACTTGAACTAATGCCTGGGATAATATGTTAATATGACAAAGCAGCATAGAAGGGTTTTTTTTTTTTTTTTTTTTTTTTTTATTGTTTTTAACCTCTAATTCACTGCAATTGCCCTATGCTGGAGCCTATAAGGAAGAAGACAAAGGATCCTTTTACACTACTCATAATGTAAGGCATTTTTTCTTTTGGCGATTACAATTTGGCCCGCAGAGAAAACAAAGGGGATAAAATAGGACCAAACTGACACCTGTAAGCTTTTAAGATGTTGAACTGAGATACCACTCCAACTTTTAGTGCTACACGGATTGTATAGGAAACAAGATAAGAAATCCATCTCTCAAGCTGATTTAAAGTAGAACAGGTGTAATTTACAGTTGTGAGCCTCTGTATCAGCACTTACACTGAATCAGATGCAATTAATTTATATTTCAAATGAGGATGTAACTCTAAAGACTATTTGATGAAAAGTAAAACAACTGGTAAAATTAGGCATGAAACACAGCTAAACTAGCAGCAGGCTTTACAGCCTTTGGCACCGCTTGCTTGAAAATGTGTAGGAGTGTATTATTATACACAGATGCCTGAAGCTAATGCAGATGATGATGACTATGCTGTATTAAAATCTCATACCTTGCAGCCTTCACATGTGATGACTCCATAGTGTATTCCAGAGGACTTATCACCACAAATTTTGCATGGTATCACTTCAATTTGTGCTGAAAAAAAAACAAAACCAAAAACAAGACAAGTATTTTGAGGACATAATTTTATTTAATTTCTTTATTTCTCAATTGAAGATCTCAAAAACTAGAGCTAGACAGCAGATAACCTGTTCACCCCCCTGACAAGAAAAAAACTGCTTTGTATTTTACTGCATGTTTCTGTATGCTTTGATTTGGCAAATTTTAATTGCTTCACATTATGTAGTTTCTACCATATCCCACAAAACTCTTCACCAATTTAAGATAGCTCACAATTATCAAGTTTTCCCTCATATTCACCTTTTTTGTTTTTAATTGTCAATTTCATCATCATTATTGTTAATGACAGTCATGAGGGGTCCTAAATAATTATCCAGATTGTGCTTGCTTACACATTTCAAATATTCACAACTTTTCATTTTGCTGAGGTAGAATTACGTGGTATATTTTGATACATTTTTTAAAGCAGCAGAGGTGATGCAGTTTTCACATCTTTCAGATTATGTCTTCAAGACACACTGGCAGAGGGGCTTGCAAATGGTTGCTAAAGAGACTTTAGTTTGCCACTGTGAGCTCAGTTTCCTGACATGCTGTCTCCGATGAAGCATATTTTTAGGCAAGGCTTAGGCAGCAAATCAGTTTCTAAACTGCTCCTAATCCAGAATGGATAGAATTAATTTTAATGTAGGAGCTAGCAATTTGTTGTTAATATATTCTGGATGGAGATAACCCAGAGCCAAAACTTTGCCTGGATTTCTACTTAAGAAAATTCATATCTAGAAATAAAATTTCCTGTCATCCACAGAGTTTGGGCTGACTTCTATATCCTGTTTTGTTTTCATGAACTAGGTGGTGGTAGTTTCTTTCCCTTCTTAAGAAACTAGTATGTATTAGCCATCCTGGCATGACAAATGTATAAATAAGAAGACAATTCCCTACAGAAAAGCATCTGCAGTTCCTTAGAAATTTTGACAGATTGATCCTGCTCAAAAATTCCTATGCCTTATCCCCACTGAAATAATTAAAACACGTAAACATGAACTTCCAGTTATTACTGTTTGTGAGGCTAGTTTGAGTATTGATCACAGGTCTCTTCCTGAGTCATGTGGAGGGAGCAAGTCTCAGTTCTGGGACCGCATGCTACTTTATGTTGCCAAACCTCAAAGACACATGTTAATGTTGGAAGCAGGAACTACAGTGGGAATGTGAGGAGACCTTCAGAAAAAGACAAGAGAAAGGAAGAAAAAAACAAAACAAAACAAAACAATATGAAGGTACTTTTAATGTGACTTGCATATGCATTTTGTAGCAGTAATATGAACAGAGACAGAAGAATTGACCGTGTGACACTTACTGCATTTAGCACAGTACTCATTACTGTGAGCAATCAATAATTCCATGCATGACTTGCAATTATAAGCACTGTATTCATGGTAAATATTTGTGGACCAGGTCACTAAATGCTAAGGCTCCAGGTTTAGATTAATATGAAGCAAATACTTTAGACTTGTGACTCATCAGTTAATTCCAACCCTTATTCAAAACTAACCATTCTATAAATTAGTAAATATAGGATGTCTAAGAAATTGCTACTATAGCTCCTTTGAGAACTCACAGAAAAGACAGCATCTTTAGGAAACAGAAAGCATTTGAAGAAGTGTGGAAAGGTAGACTCTGCTATTGTCTCCTAGGCATTTCTTTTTGTTCATAAGACAGCAGAACAATTTAAGGATTCGTAACAGAAAACTTAAGTCATTAATTGTACAGGCCAGATGAAAAAGAAGCCACTGTATTCCCAGAAAGCTCTTGAATTACTGTAATTAACACCCAGTGTACCAGGTTTCTTTTGCAGATTTAATGATTGTGAGAGGCTACTACACCTTTTTCACATTGTATCTTTGTTCAGCAGCCTATAATTTTGTTGTTTTTCTTCTTCTTTTCTCCTCTTAGATCAACAAGCCATTTAATGATCTGTATATCCTACCTCTCTTTATAGCTATTATAACATAAACAACTCACTTCTGAATTCCTTAAAAGTATAAAATGCATTGATTTGGTATGGCTTTCTGAATATTGAGGCAAAACTAGAATGAACTAACAATAGTGGAGTTGACACAGTGATAACTTTCAGAAGCACAGGAATAAAACTTATTTTCTCCCAATGTAGCAAACGTGAGGAAGGAATAAGACCAAAACAACTTATCTCCACTTTTAAAGTCCTTCCACTTGTCCTCCTACCCATCAACTTTAATAGCATGAATAAGAATAATGGTTTTTGCTTCTTTTCAAGCAATAACACGTCTCAGCTGTCCTTTTGTCCAATTTTTCAGCAAGCTCATTCAGTTTTCATCCTGTTCTGAGACATATCACTCAATAAAAGCTTGCAAAACCACCATCGCCCTGATGTCTAACAAAACATTTATGTTTGGATACATGCTGCACTGTGATTGTTCATTGTCACCAACTGTAGCTTCTCTCACCAGTATCACAGGGTCATCCTGTCTCTCTGTGGTATTCATATCTTATTTTATACTTAAGCTGAAAGATTTTTAGGATTGGTAACTGTGTCTAGTTTTATATGGTGCCCTACAAATTAGAATGTTGCAATGCAAATTAATTAATTCTACATGATTAGTAATAATAATCCACAGATTTTTACCACCTGGAACCTAATTAATTCTCTCAGGACAACAGGAAGAAGGGTGGAATTCTATTAAGGAAGAAAATACAAAATCATCTCACAGAGTTGAAATGAACACAGTTAAAAGCAAATATGTACTTAAAACCATCTTCAAATGAAGCATATAGCTGTTTTCTCAAGTGCTGCCCCAAGAGAAATAAAAAAGTACACTGAACTTCCTTTTATCTCTTATTTTTTTTTACCAGCAAAAAATTTACTCACAGGCACAAAATTCATTATCCTAAAAGTAGGGCAATAATCAGGTTTCAAGAATTATTATATTGGTGAAATTAGGAATAAATCTGGAAGGACATACACAGGTAATTTGCTGATTTCCTCTTGAAACAAAGATAAGAGTCAACAAGGCAATTAGTCTGTCCATTGTGTATTTGTGAGGACTGCCACTCACATGTGTATGTTGTCTAACAATAAAAAAAGCAAAGCTCATGTGTTATATAATCTCAGTTTAACATCTGACGAATTTAATTCTGGAGATACAGGACTATAATCTCCCAGACCTGTAGCTTTGGTTCCAAGGGGAAAAAAGACTCGAGCTTTCAGTACTTAGTTTTTGATCAAAAGAGGATACTAAAGCATGCTAGGCATGAACTTTGAAGAGGAAGTCCTCTCTTTAATTTGTTGATCCAGGAGGGATTGCATTTGGAAACATCAAGGCTAAACAGAGAACCAGTGGCAAAAAAAAAGCAGGTCCTTCACCCTCCAAGAATTCCCATCATCCTTAAACTGGAGTTCTTTGAAAAATGCCAGTAGCTTTGCCCAGTTCACTTTCATCTTTGTATCCCCAAGTGATTTCAAATTAAGTATATTCAGCATTTTTATCTAGTTGCCAACACTGATTTTTTTTTTTTTTAATCTTGACCGCTGTAAAACAGACTTTTTTCTTTGCCCATTACTATCTCTAGAAATTTCCACTATAAATTAGGCTTCTGACTAGATCTTGGTATCCCTTTTGTCACTGGATTAGATATTCTGTGGCTTCACAGTAAGACTTCAGGTGTTTTGTATTTAATAATCTGAAAATATACAGCTGAGGATACTAGTTATGTTTTCAGCCTCTGTTGTATCTCATGAAGCGAGAGCTACATAGTTAGCAATATCTCAGCAAGTTAATTAATGACATCTAATGTTAATTAATGTGTCTGTAGATACATTTGCTGTCAGACATATCTCAAATGAGCCATTAGAATAAGTAGATATAATGGAATTCACCCAGGAAAATAAAGTTTTCATAAAATTTTAGCTTTTTCACACAGTTATACACACAACTCCAACTGTGAGTCTGGACCCTGGGCCTTGTTAGAACTCTGAAGACTGTTGGGTCCACTCTGCCGAGGGAACTCCCTGTATGTGCAGCAAAGCTGATGATTCCAAAGTATGCCAGTCCTACAGCTCATGCGCAGAGACATACAAATTTCCCTGAAGCAGAAGTTCTTGTATATCTATATGTCTCACTGGGCACACACGGTAGATTTGATCTGTACATGATCTGTGAAAACTTGTCAGGAAATTCAGAGTAAGTGGAACTCCTGGAAGTTGAATATTGAGAAATCTGATAGATCACTGCTCGAAATAGAAGAGTGATAGATTACTGCTAAAAAGATTGTTTTTTTCATAGGTTCATAATTCATGCAGTTGTTAAGTCTAATTTCTTTCATGGTCTCACACTCATAGCCGAAGTTTTTTTAAGCAATGTCACTTGGAAGGTTTTTTGGTGACATGTTTTGCTTTCCCCTTCCTCTTCTATGATTTTCTAGTGGAAAAAAAAAAAAAAAAACCCAACCCAAAAACCCCACTGAATTATACATCAACTCTTTTTACAGATCAACTCTGCCCTTTATTGCATGGCTATTTCAAAGATTATTGGAAAAAAACCTTTTAAAACCTCAAGATTTTTTATGAAAAAAAAAAGGAAAAGTCTATATGTAGTTACCCTGTACATCCTTATCTTGTGCATTTAAAATTTATTTTTTAAAAGAAAAAGTAAGATCAAACCTTAGAAATATACATGGCAATGTCTGTAGATGGATGAAAGGTTTCAAAATTATATGTTATATATTAGCCTTCTTGCTAGTTTTGCATACAAAGAAAATATGTTTATATCTGCATTGTAGATATATACTTTGGAAGACTTCTTGTATCTGTTCCATGGCCATAATAATGTTTACAAACCATTGTCATATGCTTTGAAATAGACAGAAGTAATATGAGTTCAAATGAACTGTATGGCTGCTTCAGAGCTGAAGGTAATTTCCAAACTGCTCATATTATCTGATCCCTTTGTATCTTATTGTTACTAATTTTGGAACAAGCCTGG